CAGAAGAGGAATAAGATCGGAGAAAAAGCGCCGAGGGACGGAGGGACGTGCGGGTAGTAGGAGGAGATAAAGAAAACCGAGATTATACATCAAGTTCACCGCGACGAAGGAGTCGCTGGGACAGCTTCGCGTGGTACGTTGCCAATGCCACTTGAGGCTGAATCGTATCTAAATGTGCCTCGTATATCAGAAATCGAACTGTTCCGCGGTACTGGTACACACTGGCGGTTTACTTGCATCATTTTGTGCGGTCGCCGTTCCGTAATACCGCCGGCTGCAGATGCGCCCAGGTCGTTCCACATTTCCCTCGACGTCGTGACAACCTACACGTGGAAGTGTTCCCTTTCCGTACTTCCTTCTCGTCGACGCGGCGGTGCAGCGGCGGTGCAGCGGCGGTGCAGCGGCGGTGCAGCGGCGCGGCGCGGCGCGGCGCTCGAAGCGGGCCAGGATCCCGGTTGTTTTAGTATGAAATGATGTAGCATGCCGGCGAAACGATGCACCGGCTGATAAATCACGGCAGATTTACGGCGATATAGAGCTATTTCGTTCCCTCCTAAGTACAAAGGCACGTCCAGCGCCGTAGCCGGCTGATTTTTCCGCGACCGGAAGCCGTGGGGAGACGATAAGCCCGAGGATAAACCGTTGATAGAAACGAGTCCCGATGCATCCTATGCGACCGAATCCAGCCACCTCTCTCTCTCTCTCTTGCTAGCTATCGTCCTGTTTGCTCGAGGATCACCCGCGTATCTAGCTTCTTCCAGCTTCTTCTAGCTACCGAGTTAACGTCAACGGAGTCCTCCGACGGCGGGACAGAAATTAAAAGATTTACGAGCGGCCGCAATCTCGTCGGCGATCTACATACATGGCCGCGCCGAGAAACGAAAACAGCAAAGGAGGACTAGCTCTGGAACCAAGCCAGGATAACGTGCTCGCTCGCGGATTGACAGTTTCGGCGCAGCTTTATCTCCGGCACGTTCAACAATCGGTGCCGCGCACGGTCTTTCATTGATAAGCGCCGCGATCCCGCCGTGACAAGCCGAGATTGCTTCGAATTAAGTACACCAGTTTATCAATCCGTCGGCCATGTTCGATTTTTAATCAGTCGCCAGCGCTAGACTGCTTCGGATTCCGTGGATCAATTTCTCAATCTGCTGAGCTTATCCAATTTTTAATAAGTCGCGAAACAATTGCAGTTCTCCCGTTCTTGCTGACTGTCGATATCCCTCGGTCGTTTCTTCGCGCATTCGATCTGTCGGGCTCGGTTTCTCGAATATTTTGCCCTTGATGCATCGACGATGCTTCGACACGTTCGTCGCATGCGAATCGCGCGATTCTTCCGTCCGCGCGTAGAAAGTTATTTCTCTCGTAACACACACAGTTTCGTAATGTCTGAAATTGAATTCGGTCTTGTAATTTTGAATAAAACAACGCACGTCGGGCATGCTTAGTGTTAACGTACATGCACGTGTGTGTGTGTGTATTTGCTCTGATTTGAAAATGAATTTTGAAACTCATTTGATACGTTCCGCCACTTTGATTTGAATCCATAAAACGTAAGAACGTTGAGAACGTAATCAAACAATACGCTTGAATTTTGTGAAATTTTCGAAGCTGCTGGCGCGGCGGTGAAAGCGTCAAGAGAGGAAATCAATGCTCGTCGAACTCCTGTTTGCCTCGCTCGAGCAGACAATTTTGATTTCGCGCGGAGATAAGTCTAGCCGGCGACGCATTAATTTCGGAGAGGTTTGTCGCGGTAAATTGGAATGAACGGTCGAGCGAGGCGGAAAATGAGTAATTCATCGAGACGGCTTTGTCGATGGAGGATTTCCGAGGCACGAGGATTTTCCTTTCAGAAAATTTGTCACACATTTGGGCGGCTCGGATATTCCAACAGCGGCCGCGCGGTATTCCGTGCGCACGGCCGATATTTTTCACGGCGAAACGAGCGGCGCAGAAGAGAGCTCGTTAAACGAACGGTAAAAAACATGGAATGATAACAACGGTCGATACCGTGGCCTATGCATCACGCTTCCTTCCGCAGGATATAACTGATACGTTTCTGGAGGACGTGGAATTACAGAATCGATCGCGCCACGGTAATTGTCGCGGCTGGATCATTTTCGCGTTAGCCGCTCGTGTTCGTGATCCAGAAGTTACAAGCATGCCTGCGCGACTATTGAAATAACAATCCTACACGGGGTCTCTGATTGTCGCTTGTCGCGAATCGCTGATGAAATTTTTACGTTGGATGGTCCTCCATCGAAGCTGTAATCCGGAACACAGCCTTGGAAATACAAAGGTTTCTCGCGTGACACGTCCTCCACTGTAATCTCTTTTTCTATTGCAAAAAAAAAGAACGAAGAACGCTTTTTGTTTTGCGTCAGCACGCAACGAGGTAGTGTCACTGCACAGTGCATATTTCGTTTGTTACGAGTGCGATTATACGCGAGAGAATTTGACGGTGCGAACTATTATAGATATTGCACTAATGCGTTTATATGCTATTATGCGCTATTGAATGCGACATGCAGAATTATTGGGTATTATGCGAACAGACTATTTGAAAAAATCGCGAATTCCGATTTTAAATGAAATAACCCTTGAGTTTATATTTGATGCGATTTAATGCTATAAAGTTACAAACAGTCCGTAACTCTTTGCACTACGATTTCTTCCACAGGTAAATCAATTAGCACTTGTTCGTTCTTAGCAATTTCCCCGACAGAACTAGATTTTAATTTCTTGTACGTTTTCGATTATTCTCACTTCTAGACTTTGGTAACTGAATAAATCATACTTCGATTCAGAAGATAACATAAGGAATAACGTTCACAGTTAGTAGATCACGTATGGCATCTTCATAAAGCATACTTATACGTATCGCATGCATATCTTTACTATAATTTTTAAAGATTGATAATAGAAGAACAGTGTTTGATTTCGATCTAAAGGAACAGGCATAATATATAGAACGCATGGAGTGTATAGAATATTCTAGCTTCGCTTAAAAGATAAGATGTTTCAAATATTATCAAACATCCTGGAAAGCGATGAATTAGCAGATAATAAAAAATAACATAATAATAATAATAATAATAATAATAATAATAATAATAATAATAATAATGATTTTATAATATAACATTTACGGATATCATAAAAATGGGAGTGAGAGACATCTATAACTGAAATCGGCAATTACTTAGTTGCCAATCCAATATATATATATATATATATAATAAGAATTCTAATATTCTTGCGTCCGACTATTCACCATTTCGTCCGAGAATAATATCACCGAATGAAACACCAAATAGAATAATTTCCGTCTCGTCCATCGTAAAACGGAAATAATGTATTCGGAACGTTTAATTAACGGTTGAATAGCGGCGTGAAATGGTGTAAAAAGTTCTCGGCGGTTGTAGACGCGGGGAACAGACAGTGGCGAGCGCAGCGAACAGAATGACGGTGTAGCGTCTAATAAAAGGCAAACAGTGGTATCACGGACAATACGAGACTCGGAGGAAGCTGTTCAGTCTTCCGATAAAATTCTATTCGTACCTGCGAAGTGCTTACAATCCGACGATGCTCCATTATCTTGTAATGCGGTACCATTATAACGAGTAAGTGGTACTTGTTTCCTACATGTAGGCCCCCGGAAGTGACCGCTGATTACTGTAATGCGCCTACCCCTCGGCCCGTAACGAGGAACATCGTCCTACTGTCTAGCGTTCCAAGAAAAATTCCGCATCACGGATCGCGTCGAAGCCGTAAAAGGAACGGCCGTCCGTTTTCCCTGTTGCGGTCGAGATTTCGCGGTCGCGATCATGGTCGCGATCATGGTCGCGCGCAGCTTCCGCTCGTTAAATTAGTTTTACAGGCGTCAGGATCGCGAAAGCTCCCGGTGAGCCGGGCCCCGAGGTAATTGAATGTCTTTAACGCCTCCTCTCGCGGATCGGTATCCCGTCACTGCGTCGAGCCACGGCCAACGAGACTTCGTTATCCGTCCCTCGTACGTCTTCCGCCGCGGAAAACTTTCCAACGAATCACGATCGAAAACCTGCTGCTACCTGTCCCACCCCTCCCGCTCTACGCCCCTATGCGGCGCATCGCGGCGCGCCGAGATTAATTATGATTTCGCAAAGGGAGATGACGCGGCAACGACATTAGGGCGGGCAAAATTATTCCGCCACTTAACGACCCCTCGCAGCCAGGATCGACAGGGCAAGAATAACGAGCCGCCCCCGTCGAGATACTTTCGCTCGCCCGGAGAATAGTAAGCATTGATCAGCGTCAGTTCAACACCGCTTCAATGAGCCGGCGCGACATTCGCAACCGATATTGGTTAGCAAAACGTCCGACCGCTTGGAAGAGATACTTCAAAATGCATCGGGAGGAAATTGGAAAATTTTATAGAACGGTTTACTGCTTAATTCGATGAACAAAAATAATATTTTCGCTCGCAATCGTTTAGTATTGCCTTTCTATTTGAGGAAATTGTGATCAGTTTTTTAGAGCCTTAAATGAGTGGACTACAAATCGTGGTGGCCCATGAGTCACATTTTTTCACATTGTGAGAAACAACGAGTGTTATTGTTTACTAACAGTCGCACCGTTTATTGACCGAATTTATCGTTGAGATAATTTAGAGGTAATTCATAAGGTTACTAATGCGGTAATTTATAGTAACTTTATAATTTATCGCAATTGTCATTTTAACATTTTGGCATGTATGAAGTATATTTTAAGACATTTTAAGGTTAAAATTTTCGAAAATGTCACTTACGCCACTATGACTCTAACCCACTTAAATGTGCGCGACTCGTGGATTTCACAATCTCCTTTCAATTACATTATCACCAGAGACGAATAATAAAGTAACTGTAACGAATAAGCAGCGGCCCGACCGGCGTATAATAGCAATTAAGGGTTAAAATCGATACGAGATCCGGAAGAAACTGGACCGTGCGTTAATTCGTGTTGGTCGTTTTCCGTTTCAGCTGCGCTGACGCAATCGCAGTTCCCGGTGTTCACCATCTACGCCCAGAAGAGCTGCTTGGCTGTGAGGCCATGCGATCGTGCTTGGTGCATCGACAGGGTGCAAGGATATCGGTTGCATGGGCACACGCGCAGAACGATGACCGCCTCTTCGCGGCAGCACTGTCTGGAGCTCTGTTTAGGCGAGAGGGACTTCCTGTGCCGGTGAGTAGAGCCGCACACACGGCTATTTTTCGTTTCATCGGTGTATACGTACGTGGACGACAGGGGAGAATCGTGGGGACAGGGTGCGCGCGAGTAAGGGTGAAGAAGAGCGAAGGAAAGTGAGAAAGAGACGGAAAGAGAGAGGAGAGTCCTATTCAAGAGACAGTCGTTTTCCGGCGAGCTTATATCTCTTTTTCTTTCTGGTCGCGGGGGCACGATATCCGACGATGGAAAAAGGCGGACGCACTCGTCCCCGAGATTCGTCACGAATCGACGTACACCACGGTGTGTCTTCCCCTCTTTCTTCTTCTTCCCGGCGTATCCCTCGAGTAGGACTTCGAGAATCGAAAGCACCTCTGCACGCTCCGGTGCGTTTTCCAGTTATTGGATTCTTCGATCGGGGGCGGACGTTACATCACGCTCCTATAGACTTTCGAGTGTTTCTCGGTCATGAAGCGGCCGTCTCCGACGTTTCATGCGAGCTGGAACACCAAAGGGAACGAGCTATCCTTCTGGAAAAGTTGCAGAGAAATAGCTCTGGGCCACCTTGATTTCTCGTATGTTTGTCGTTTCACGGGACGCCGGCTATTCGCGATTCGAGACCCGGCGCGGAACACCATCGAGATTCCCATTTAAATATTTTTCGAACGTTTCTCTCTCGCCGAATTCGCCGACTCCGCCGATGTATTCTCGGCACGATATTCGCGCCTCGGTTCTCCGAGCCTAATTACGTTCGCGTCATCGAGCATCCTCGGGAACGATCGGAACGCGGAGGCTGCGCGGCCAGACCGAATTTTCCCGCGCCGCGGCTCGACGGGATGACGACGACGACGACGACGACGACGACTCACGTGCTCCGGTTCTAATTCGCGTTCGAGGTAATCGGCGGGAATTTCCATGGTGTCTTCTCGCGGAGACAAGCTCGCATCCGCGTATCATGGTAAATACAGCTCCCGGGGACTCGTTCGGCTGCCGTCTCCTGTTGGTCGCGCTGTCGCTGCCGTCGGCAACAACTCAGTAATCAGATGACATAAAATATCAAGGGTACGGAGACACGTTGTCATTACAGTTGGCCAGGAATCTCTTAAAATCGTGGAAAAATCGCGGCGTCTACACACCCGGAGCCGTGTTGCTTGTCGTGCGAGCGTTGTTTAACGCGGGCTTTAAAGCTTAGGGGCTATTTGCGACGTCGTTTCCGTTCACGGTCGAAAGGATTTACTATGCTTTTGCTTAGTTTACGCTTTGGTACTCACTTATCATCGCCTTAGGCACGCGTTATTTTTCGCCAGCGTGCACGGCCGACGGAGGAATTTATAATAATCCTGCGGGGTGCGAAAATAGTCTTCTCCTCCCCCTTCTCATTTTCCCCCTCCCCGTCCCTCTTTATTTCCTCCTCTCTTGTTTCATCTTGGCTCATCTGGTCCCATCTTTTGTCTCCGATGGATGTGTATTGAAAACATATTACTATACAGAGTGACCCATCTAAATCGATCCGGACAAATATCTTGCGATGGAATCAAAGAGCAAGATTAACGTCTTGCAAATCGTTGATGATAATGAAAAATATTTCGAATAGATGTTCAATGGTTACAGAAGACAATGCGTAAAGAAGATATGAAAGCTTATTTCATTTTTATAAATAGAATCACATATTTTTTGTTGCACCGATCCATACAACTCGTTATTTTCTGTGTGAAAGTACCAAGCCAATTATTGCGAAAAATCATTGGTTTAATAGTATTCTAAGTTTAGTATTAACACGTATTCGTCCGTATGACGAAAATTCGTCATTTCGCAAACAATCACCAATAGCTAAATGACGAAAATTTGTCATTTGTATATTACAGAAAATAATTGATTCTTGTTCTTTTAATTCTAAATAAATTAAATGCAACATTCCCCTTCACGCTGGAATATTACTTGTTTATAAAATTAAAGATTCGAAAATAATTTACTTCATCTAATAAAAAAGGGAATAATAACTTTGTGTTTTCAGTAATTCATTTTTAACTTCAGAAAGCAAAAAAAGAAATTAAAAATTTATATATAAAGACAAATTTGTTTTATATCGTTTTCCAAAATTTCACTGAAAAATATATGATTTTTAACAAGTTGCGTCATTTCTACAGATTACCGGACCAATATGCGTTAAGAATGTTAGTCTGTATAGAATAATTAACAGGTATGATTAACTTTATATTTATCAAGCAAGACATATTACATTCTTTAATTCCCGAATTTTTTGATTCTTTTATTTTGCTTACTCTTGAATTTCTTCATTTCTTCATCGAATTATGCTCGAGCAGAAACCAAATGCACAGCGATTGGTCAGCCCCGCTACCCTACACAGAGCTATCGTTGCACTTGAACAGTCTCTGCTCTCGAATTCTGCGTTTCGACGCGACACTATCGCGGGAGATCGTCGCCGCGCGAGAGCACGAGTTCGTTTCGATGATCCGTTGTCTACGAGCATAATAATTGCAGTTCCAGCTTGTGTATCTCTCAGACTTTGTACCGGCCGGTTGTTGATTTATTCATCCCGTCATCTTGGTACTCCCACGAACGAAGACACGAAGCGACGTGCTTGCTCTCTGTTCACTGCAAACATTTCCGGCAGGCGGCAGATGAAGTGTTTTTGAAGTCGATTAGAAACAACCACGCGCCATGGCGGCGAACCGACGAAAAAGGGAAAGAGATTGAACGAACAAAGGGGATACTCGGCAGTTTCAATTATACGCCATCGAACCACTTTGCCGGCCCGGATTTTTGTGTTTACGGGGGCGTGCGAATTCTCCTCTGGCGCGAGACGAACGCATCTTCGATTCCCTTTATCGGACATGCCTGCGATTTTTTCGCCGCGTAAATATTTAGAGGTGCACGGAAATGGAGTAGAAGCTGAATAAACAGGACACCGGGGTGGCCGGCGCCGCGACTCCGCCAGTCACACCACGGGAAGTGTACATAAGCACGCGCAAATACCACTTAACTTTTTCAACGTTTATGGCTTGTCCGGGATCACAGCTACGGCGAAATGTTATAAGATCGTAGCGTTAGAAATGCACAGGGTGCAAGGAAATTATATGTCACGACCGGCCCAGCAGGATTCTAAACCACTGGATCGATGGAGATTTATTTAAATTCTTGCCGCAAAGTTCACCTTGACCATGATATTCGAGGGTGATTATCTTTTGTTCGAATTGTCAATTCTTTCCGATTTCATTGCCGATTCTATCTGATTGCATCATTTCAAGGAGCATTGTTTCTTACGCGAATTATTCACTTTGGACCTATCGTTTCAAAGAAAAACAAAATCGTTTGAAATATCATAGCCGAGGGTAATTTTTTTAAACAAATCTTCACCGATTTAAACGTGTAGAATTTTGTTATTGTGGTCGTGACGTATAATTTTCATCCACCCTGCTGATTAAGAAATTTGATCACTTAGTCTTCGTTAGCTTTCAGTTAATCGTATATATTCGGTAGGAAAGATTTACTCGCGAATCTTCATACACAAAGGGATAAATTGTTCCCTCATTGTTATGAGGGATTTCTGAGGTTATTTGAAATAACTTTTTCCTTAGCGAAAATGCAATCTGCGGCTTCGTTTACGAGATATTATCAAAAAAAAAAACAGTGACCAATGAGAGGCGTGGCGCGAGATGATCGAGCCAACGAGTGGGCGAAGCTCAGTTCCGCTGATTGGCTGGGTCGCCTAGCGCTAGGCGAGCTCGCCTCTCATTGGTCACTGTTTTTCGTTAATAACTCGTAAACGAAGCCGCGAATTGCATTTTCGCTAAGGAAAAAGTTACTTCAAATGACCTCAGGAATCCCTTATCTCTCGAATGTACCATAATTTTATGACATCCTGTACATGATAGATAGATCGTAGAACGTCCAGTGCCCAGCTATAAAGACAAACGCTATATCCACTGCTCATCTCTATACAAAATAGAGAATTTTCTGCATGAAATGCGTTAACAGCATTCTAAATTCTTCGGATGCGTTAGTTGGTTCGTATCTGATTAATCTTTGTCAGCGAGCTTCAAATCTGCAATCTAGTTAAGACCAACGATAAAAACACCACTACCATGATCGGCACAAAATAAAATCGACTACAAGAGTCTCTATAGAGTAGGAGAACGATCACTATCCATAAAAAATGTTATTTTTCATTTCGATAACGTCACACAGACTGTAGATAACAAAAGAAATATCTGCAGGTTCCAGTAGTTCAAAAACCGTGCATGTCAGCCGCAGAAAAATGTCCTTGCCAAAATTCGAACATTTCGAACGGATAGCAAAAGTTACAATTTCGTACAATTTATTATTCGTCGAAGAAACTGTCAGAAATCCCGATCTCTACATATTTAACCGCATAAGATTTACGTTCGTTCGAACGACGATGTTGACGATTGCGATACTAGATTTTATGCAATTATAATAAAAATAGGTGGGTGAAATTTTAGACGACGAAGAATATGAAAAGAATTCAAGGACATTTATTATTTTCGATCGACTGAAATGATTAAAGAAATACAAAAATTTTCATTGAATTCGTCTTCGTTGCAATTTAGGAAAACAAGTTTTGCTTTGTGTAACAAAATCCGAATTATACTCGTCTTTATTGCAATTTAGGAAGATAAGTTTTACTTTGCACAAAGGCCCGAATTGAATTTCAATTCGAAGTTCAATTCGGGCCTTTGTGCAAAGTAAAACTTATTTTCCTAAATTGCAACAAAGATGAGTTCACTTCGAATGTTCATACAAAGTAAAACCTATTTTTTTCTAAATTGCAACGAAGACGAGTTCATTGAAAACTTTTGTATTTCTTTAATCGTTTCAATCAGTCGAGCATAGTACATGAATGTCCATAAATTTTTTTAATATCTCTGTTGCAATTATTTAAAAATAAGTGTTACATCGCACAACGATCCAAACTGAACTCATCTGTGTTGCAATTTTTTGAAACAAGTTTAACTGTGCGCACACAAAGATCCGCA